GATCTAGTACTAGTATAGACTAGTAGTATCCACTAGTCACGTGATAAAGCGCTAGGCCTAATTAGGCCGTACGCCCAAATAGCGATATTCCACACACCCCCTTAAGCTAGATCTTACCTAGCCTTAGGTAGATCTCAGCTTATATTCATCTATCGAACGGATCGATAGGATAACTCGCTAGTCATATCGATAGATATCGATTATAACCCTTCTATCGAACAGATCGATAGGATATCGCTCGTTATGGTATTCCGCCCACAACTCATCTATCGAATAGATCGATAGGATATCTCGCTAGTTATATCGATAGATATCGATCATAACTCTTCTATCGAACAGATCGATAGGTACTCGTTCGTTATAGCTTTATAGCGGTCTCTATAGCGTTTAGAGCCGCTTCTTTTTCATCCTCATCTTTAGGCTTTTGAGGTAGTCGACATTTCCTAGCGATATGGCCTTTCTTTCCACAGTTATAGCACGTAATAGTGCTTTCTTTCTTCGTACTAGTAGTAGTAGCGATTCCTACTAGTTCTCGAGGTTCGTTGACCTTTAATCGTCTTGATTCATCAATTATAGCGTTAAATAGATCGTCTAGATCTATATCTTCGTCCTCGTCGTCTCGGAATTTTGTCGTTATAGCCGCTATAATAGGGCTATATTCGCTCGTAAGGTTATTTAGCGTATAGGCCGCTATAATAGCCTTCGGAATAGGCTTTTTTCGTAAGGCTAACTCGTCCGTAAGGCCTCGAATTCTTGATAAGTAGGTTTCAATCGACCCATTTCTTAATAGAGAGGTATTAAATAGCTCTCTAGCTATTAGGAATTCCGTAGAAAAGCCTTTAGGTGCGTATAGAGTCTCTAGTCGTTTAAAGAGACCTTCAGCGTCATTATCGGAGATAGTAGCGGTTTGAATAAGCGCCGAATCGCCTATATTTAGTCGTATAATCGCTGTAGCTCTTTCGGAATCGTTTTGCCTTTTCTTATTATATTCCTCGATATCGTCCTTAGGTGTTCCTTTAGGAAATTCTTTCCTAGGCTTAACTGTATAGCCTAGTTCGTCCTTAGACAGGAGCGCTAGTATTCGAATTCTCTAAATATTCCAATCGTGAGCACCCTGAAGAGGGTTAATCTTCGTAATAATAGCCATCGAGGTTCGTTTATCGATCGGTTTATTCTCGTACGGGCCTATATAGTCGATATATATAGAGGCTTCGGAAGTCTTTCGATACTATACCTAATAGGTAATGGTATCGTTAAGAGCCCTAATCGTTCTAGGTTCTCAATAGTACTAGGCGATAGTACTAGTCGATAATAGTAGTGGCGAAGATTAATCGTAATAGTAGTATAGAGCGCTAGTCCGGGCTCATAACCTGTTAGAAGGTCTGAGTGTACGGTC